GTCTCCTGTGGCCGATGAAGAGCAGTGAAGGTCGGACAGTCGTCTAATGGCTGTGTGTGTGTGTTGTGTGTGTGTTGTGTGTGTGAAACGTCTTCCCAATATTTTCAAATTAATATGAAGATATTACTGAAACGAGGGTAAAAAGAGAGAAAGAGCGGGAGGGAAGAGGGCAGTCGCATATAGAAAGAGTGGAGAGAGGAGAGAGAGAGAGAGAGAGTGTATGAGGAGATAAAAGAGAGACTGTTACATAATGGTTTCTATTGTTCGTGCTGCCTGTGGCGCCTCCTGCTGGTCACAGCGAACACTGCAGCTGTGAATACCAGTTGTTGCGTAAGAGGGCGTCGAACAGCAGTTAGTGTTTAATTTATAAAATCATCTGCTGCACGAGGAAGAGGAGGAAGGTGGAAATGCTTCCTCATCAGCACTGATATTTACATGTTTCAGTTTTAGGCTCGTTGACGCAGAAAGTAGCAACAATACAAGCAAAATATAATAATTGTGACTGCAGCTGTGAGTTTATTTAAACACTTTGAGACAAATGGAGCCAAACTACGATAATAAACATAAAACACCTGAGTTAAAAATGTTTGTTGCAGTTGTAAAACAGAAGAAAACACGTTATATGGATATAAACATGTTATATCGACAGCTTTGACTCGTAGCTACATACGTTAATTCAACAGTGTTATTAATTTATTTTTTAAAACCTAATTCTAGCTGGTTACATCTGCAAATTAATGTTAGTTAACACGACACACTTTTTTATATAAATCCAAAATGTTCACAGTGCAGAAACTACTGAGCTATGATAGGTTACACCAGAGCCAGAACTGCTATTATGAAACCAGGACAAACTGCAGAACTCGGAGCTGTAAATCTGCAATAATTCATTCTGAAAGTGAGAGTCAATATTTTCCACACAGAGCCGGCGGCGTCAGACGTTTCATTCACAAACTCCAGAATGGAAAGACCGGAATCATCTTCTCCCCTCTTCTTCCTCGCTGAGATCTGGATCAGCTGATCTGACGTACGGCGGGACGATCAGCTGATCCTCATCAATAAATAATCTTTGTTATTATTCAGTCTGGTTCTGTGTCTCTGTCCTCGAGGGTGCAGGTCATCCGCTGGGTCACGACTGAAACATCAGTCTGGATGAGACTCAAACCTCTGACTCTCTGTCCTCCCATGTTCCTCCTTTTTTATGAGTTCATGTTCAAAGTCATCAGATCAAACTTTTGTTTATGTCCAAATATCTACAGGAACTCGTGAGATCCCCGTCTTTGTGATCAGTGCTAATTAGCATTTAGCTCGAAACACCTCTGTGCACTGATCTATAACAGATAACGGATCTATAACAGATAACAGATAACTGATCTATAACAGATAACGGATCTATAACAGATAACTGATCTATAAAACAGATAACGGATCTATAACAGATAACTGATCTATAACAGATAACGGATCTATAACAGAATACGGATCGATAACAGATAACAGATAACTGGATCTATAACAGATAACAGATAACAGATCTATAACAGATAACAGATAACAGATCTATAACAGATAACAGATACAGATAACTGATCTATAACAGATAACTGATCTATAACAGATAACTGATCTATAACAGATAACAGATAACAGATCCGTGTGTATGTATATGTGTGTGTCTAAAGGGGGCGGGGCCTGTAAACTACCTGCAGCAGGTAGCTTCGGGTTGTTGCTGCTGTTCAGTCCTGGGTTGTTGTTGAAGCTGACTCACCTCCACCAGGTGAGTCTCACCCCTCAGGCTCACCTGCACCACCGGAAGTCTTTTTTAGGGGTTTCTCCTCAAAGTCGGATGTTTGTTTGTTTATTTGTTCTTCCTGAAATGAGCTCATCAAGCAGCCGGTAAGTCAATCAGTCGTTAATTAGAGACTCCTTAACGTTACCCGGTGTGTTGCGTTCACGGTCGGTCGTTTCAAACCGAAACTGTTTGTGTTTGAAGTAGTTTTTTTTGTGTGTAAACATGTAATGAGACTGTGCAGGTGGTAATTTACAGTCTGTACACAGGAACCGGTTTCTGTCTGTCTGTCTGTCTG